TGGCCTCCAGCTGCATCCATGTTGCTGCAAAGGACAGTATTTCATTTCATTCTTATTTAAAGCTACACAGTATTCCATGGTGTGTATGTACCAAATTTTCTTTATCCAGTCATCCATTGATGGGCACTTAGTTTGATTCTATGACTTTGTTACTGTGATTCATGCTAAGATAAACATACAGTTCAGAATTTGATATAACAATTCCTTTTTCTTTGGATAGATAGCCATTGGTAGGATTGCTGGACTGCATGATAGTTCTATTTAGCTCCATACTGTTTTCCATAGGGGTTGAACTAATTTACATTCCCACCAACAGTGTGTAAGCATTCCCTTTTTTGCACATCACCAACATCTATTATTTTGACTTTTTAATAATAGCCATTCTGACTAGTGTGAGATGGTATCTCATTGTACTTGTAATATGCATTTCTCTAATGATTAGTGTATTAGTCTTTTTCCACACTGTTGATAAAGACATACCCAAGACTGTGAAGAAAAAGAGGTTTAATTGGACTTATTGTTCCAAATGGCTGGGGAGGCCTCCAAATCATAGCAGGAGGCAAAAGGTACTTCTTACATGGTGGTGGAAAGAGAAAAATAAGGATGAAGCACAAGTGGAAACCCCTGATAAACCCATTGGATCTCATGAGACTTACTGTCATGAGAATAGCATGGAAAAGACCAACCCCCATGATTCAATTACCTTTCCCTGGGTCCCTCCCACAACATGTGGGAATTCTTGGAGATACAATTCAGATTGAGATTTCAGTGAGGACACAGCCATACCATATAGTTAGTGATGTTGAGCATTTATTCATGTTTGTTGGCCGATTGTATGTCATCTTTTGAGAAATGTCTATTCATGTCCTTTGCCCACTTTTTTTTTTTTTTTTTTAGATGAAGCCTTGCTCTGTTACCCAGGCTGGAGTGCAGTGGTGCAGTCTCGGCTTACTGCAACCTCTGCCTTACAGGCTCAAGCCATTCTCCTGGCTCAGCCTCCCAACTAGCTGGGATTACAGGTGCCCGCCACCACCCCCAGCTAATTTTTTGTATTTTTAGTAGAGGCAGGGTTTTACCATGTTGGCCAGGCTGGTCTTGAACTCCTGACTTCGTAATCTGCCTACATCAGCCTCCCAAAGCACTGGTATTATAGGCATGAGCCACCGCACTTGGCCTGCCCATTTTTTAATGGGGTTATTTGGTCTTTTTCTTGTTGATTTATTTAAGTTCCTTATGGATTCTGGATATTAGTCCTTTGTCACATGCATAGTTTGCACATATTTTCTCCCATTCTGTATATTGTCTGTTTCCTCCATTGAATGTTGTGAAGCTCTTTAGTTTAATTCCCATTTGTCAATTTTTGTTTCTGTTGCATTTGCTTTTGAGGAAGTCAATTCTTTGAGGCCAATGTTTAAAATTTTTCTTACGTTTTTGCCTAGGATTTTTTATTTTGAGGTCTTATATTTACTTTTAGTCTTTAATCCATCTTGCATTAATATGGTGAAGGATAGGGACCCAGTTTCATTCTTCTGCATATGGTAGCCATTTTTCCCCAGCACCATTTGTTAAATAGAGTGTGCTTTTCTCATTGTTTATCATTGTCAGCTTTGTCAAAGATCAATTGATTGTAGGTGTGTGGCCTTATTTCTGGGTTCTTTATTGTGCTCCATTGGTCTATGTATCTGTTTTTGTACAAGCACCATGCTGTTTTGGGTGCTCTAGCCTTATAGTATAGTTTCAAGTCAGGTAATGTGATGCCTATGGACTTTTTCTTTTGCTTGGGATTCCTTTGGCAATTCAGTTTGTGTTTTTTGGTTCCATATGAATTTTAGATTACTTTTTTCTAATTCTTTGAAAACTGTTGTTGGTAATTTGACAGATATTGTGTTGAATCTGTAGATTGCTTTGGGCAGTATGGTCATTTTAATGATACTGATTCTCTCAGTACATGAGCATGGAGTATTTCTCCATTAGTTTGTATCATGGATGATTTTTTCTGTCAATGTTTTGTAGATCCTTGAATGGATCTTTTGCCTCTTTGATGAAATATACTCCTACGTATTTGTGTGTGTGCGTGTGCGTGTGTCTACTATAAATGGGATTGAGTTCTTGATTTGAATCTCAACTTGAATGTGGTTGGTGTGTAGAAATGCTACTGCCTTTTGTACATTGATTTTTGTATCGGGAAACTTTACTGAAGTCATTCATCAGGTCTAGAGGTATATTTAGGGTTTTGGAGGCATATTTAAGGTTTTCTAGGTATATACTCATGTAAGTTGACTTCCTCTTTTCCTATTTGGATGCCTTTTATTTCTTTCTCTTATCTGATTGCTCTGGCTATGACTTTCACTACTATGTTGAAAGAAGTGGTGAGATTAGACATTCTTGTCTAGAAACAAACTTTTGATAGGGCAAATATTGTATGATTCTACCTAAGTACTTAGTATAGACAAATTCATAGTGACAGAAGGTAGATTATAGATTAACAGGTGGTTAACGTCTGTTATACTATTGAAAGGGGAGATGGGGAGTTATTGTTTAATGAGTTATAGAGTTCTGTTTAGGATGATGAAAACGTTCTGGAAATAGATAGTGATGAAGTTTACACAAAATTGTGAACATACTTAATGCCATTGAATTGTACACTTAAAATAGTTAAAATGGTAAATCTTATGTATATTTTATCAGTATACAAAAAAAGGAATAAACTTTTGATATGAGCACCGACTTTGGATTTTAAGGTAGAAAAAGCCAGTCAAAGGTTATATGCTTTCTGATTGCTTTTATATAACATTCTTGAACTGAGGAAATTATAGTGATGGAAAAAAGAATACTGTTTCCCAGGAGGGAAAGAAATGGCTGTGATTGTAAGAGTGACATGAGGGATCCGTCTCATGGAACTGTTGACCATGATGGCCACAAGAATGTGAACATGTGACAAAACTGCATATAACTGAATAAACACACAAATGAGTACATGTTAAACTAACAAAATCTGAATAGGTAGACCTTATCATGTCCATTTCTTGTACTACAGATTTGCTAATACACTGGGGAAATTCACTGAAGGGTTTATAGTCTCTCTATATATATTACTCTTACAATACATGTGAATCCAAAATTATCTCAAAAAAAAGTTTTTTAAAAATGGTAAGGGGGGCCGGGCGCGGTGGCTCAAGCCTGTAATCCCAGCACTTTGGGAGGCCGAGGTGGGTGGATCACGAGGTCAGCAGATCGGGACCATCCTGGTCAACATGGTGAAACCCCGTCTCTACTAAAAATACAAAAAATTAGCTGGGCACGGTGGTGCGTGCCTGTAATCCCAGCTACTCGGGAAGCTGAGGCAGGAGAATTGCCTGAACCCAGGAGGCGGAGGTTGCGGTGAGCCGAGATCGCGCCATTGCACTCCAGCCTGGGTAACAAGAGCGAAACTCCGTCTCAAAAAAAAAAAAAAAAATGGTAAGGGAAGCATGTGCCTACTACATATTGTTTCACTGACTTTTCACTTCACTCTTTGAGGTAGTTATCTTTACCCAAAAGATACGAATAAGGAAAGTGGGACTTAGCTTAAAGGATTGGCTCTACTAGTTTGTTCCAGTCTGACTCCCAGACTCACCTGAGGTGACTAGACTGGATGAGCCTCAGCTGGGCCTGGGCATAAACTGCTCCTCAGCTACCCCTTAGCAGCTTTCCGCACAACCCTCAATGGAGAAGACTAGAGCTGCTTCCAGCTCTCTTCCGTGTCCAGACAAGTTGTTATAAACAACTTTGGTCTCAGGGCATTTGTTATTTGATGCATCATTGAGTCTTTTCATACAGTATCTGTTTGTCAACAATTAAAAATAATTATTTTTCCTCAGAAATCTCAGACTCTTTCATTTTCTCCCCTTCCTGATTCTTCTCTGTTCCTCTCTGTTAACAATATAGTAGTACTTTAAGTTACTAACTTACAACAACCAAAACTCATTTATACTTATATACATACTACCTCTTTGGGGTCTGTTTTATTTTCAAGCTTAATGGTGGAAGGACAGGTTTTGTTACACAATCGCAGGATAATCTCTTAATGTGGGCAGATTCTTACTGCCTTTCTCCCTCTATTTCCATCCTTCCTACCTCACTACATAGATTGGCCATACTGTTTATACATGTTGTGTCTGCCCCTGTTGTTTTTTCATAGCTCCCATTATCTCTGTCCGAATTGTCCTGGTTTGAATGATAAATTACATGATTATCCACCCAAAAGGTCATTGATCTGACTTCTTTCGCATCAAGAAAGAAAAAAGATTAAATAGAACTTAAAATCTACTTTATAAAATCTTTATGCCACATATCTTGTTTGGTTGACTTACTTGGTTTTCAGAAGCAGAGATTGACTCAGATTACCTCAGGAAAAAGATTTCTTTAATGATACAGTGGCACTTGAATTTCAGCCAAAGGCAGCCCTAGGGACCAAGCTAAACACTTCCTCTTTCTCTCCCAAGTCAGCTGATCTTTCTCTCTAATTACCTGCTTTTAGTGTGTTGCTTGCTCTGTTTTCTCATTATTGCCTACCTTTTGTTACCTATTGATATTTTCTTATTCTAAATTCAATATTTATATCATAGTGATCCTTTTTGGCCTTTCTAAAGGTGAGAGGTTAACTTGGGATCCACGAATGCTTCCAGAATACCCCCACACTAAAAAATATGTTTATACATGTGTAATTTTTCCTAGGCGAGGGTCTATAGTGTTAAACAATCTCCAAAAATTCTAAGACATTAATAACTTTTCCTTTTCTGTCCTTATTGATAACTAGCATTGAACCTTTAAAGTTCAGTTCCTAAGAAAGAGGCTCTGGCACAGCTCATCTTTTTCTACCAGGTTACCAATCATCTACTACAGTATGGATTAACTACCCTTATGTCAGATGCAATCTCCTGATCTAATTATTTCTGTATGATTAGACATGCTGCTTATACAGTAAAACTTATGAATATTATTTTAAAAGATCCATGGGAGTCTGGGAACAATAAGTGGCATCACCAGTATACTTTATTAAATAAATATTTAATACATATCTCTGGGCAGGACATCTTGACTTGCTCTGTGAAATAAACAAAGGAATTAAGAATCTTGGCCTCAAATGGAAACAACCCAAATGTTCAGCAGCTGATGAATAATGTTCATAAAATTGAATATTATTTAGCAATTAAAAGGAATGAAGTATTAATACATGCTGCAACATGGATGACCCTTGAAAACATTATGTGAAATGAAGGACACCAATCACAAAAGAGTGTGTCTTGTATGATTTCATTTATATGAAATGTCCAGAATAAGCAAATATAGAGACAGAAAGTAGTTTAGTAGTTGTCTAGGACTTAAGGAGGTGTAGGGAGCATGTGGACTGACTTATAACAGGCATAGCGTTTCTTTTTGATGTGATGAAAATATTCTAAACTGTGGTAATGGTTGCACAACTCTGTGACTATAGTAATGATTGAATTGTAGCTTTACATAGATGAATTTTATGATGTGTGAATTACACTTAGTAAAGCTGTTAAGGAAAAATAATGCTGGCATCAAATTTATAGTCTGTAGGAGTATTAATGTACACAAATAATTATAAATTGAAAGTAGAAAGTGGTTGTAAGAGCTATTTAAAAAATAAGAGTCTATAACATGTTAATACATTTTACATATTGTTCGTGTGATTCAACTTTAATTCTCTGACACAGATGAAGTATTTATGGGAAGAGGGTATGAATAGATGGGTTAGAGATCAGATATTTCATCAGAGAAGCAGAATTTGAATTAGAGCATGAAGCAATAAGTATTTTTTGGTTTTAAAAAAGAAGATCATTCCAGGGCAAGAGAACATTGAGAGTTCCAAAGCTGTTTGACACTTTATTGTTACAAATACGAGCCAGAAAATGAAGCAAGAAATTGACCTTGACTAGAATATTATTCACTTTAATGTATTTAATGCTTGCAATGACCTTGTACCCTGGATTTTCCATAACAGATCAAATTCAAATACTCCTTTCTTCTCCCATAAGCACTAGATGTTGAAAAGCATCTTGCTGAACCTGGGGAGGGCACATTATAAATGTTTATCAAAAAGAATTACACTTCTTCAATAGTTCATGTAAACCAGTAGACCAGTGAGGCCTAACTTCAATGCTATACAACTACATTAGAATTGATGTCTGCCAATTTTCATGTTGACATTGGAATACAATTAAATATATATTTTTGAGCTATTCAAATTTAATTATATTTAAATTACAAAGTGAAGCTGGGGCATTATGAAGTATTTTAGGTTGGTGCAAAAAGTAATTGCAGTTTTTTGCCATACTACTACTTACTGCATCCTTCCCAGAAAAAGGGCACAACTAAAGCCTCTATATGTGCCTGACATTGTAATCATAGCAAGCACTATTAAGAACATATATAGCTATTAATTTTTAAAAAGTATGCAGTGTAAAGAGATGATTATGCAACCTCTTTTGCTAATTTGGGCTGCTCTACTGGAGAATATTAAAATATCCTGGAATTTCAGTATGTCAGCATCTAAACTGTGTCTTGCAGATTGCATGAAACAAAGGCTACATGGCTATGTAGAGAAAATATTTTGGATAACATGGTATACATTATTATGGATGTTTACTTTATAAAAGCAGCTTATAAATCTGGTGTTTTAACATTTATAAAAATAAGAATTTTCCAGGTATTTTAAACAGTTAGATTCTGTAGTTTTATAACCACTTCAATTAATGTTTCAGTTCTGGAGGTGGTTTTTGGCCAACCTGGCTTCTGGTGGAGCTGCTGGGGCAACATCCTTATGTGTGGTATATCCTCTAGATTTTGCCCGAACCAGATTAGGTGTCGATATTGGAAAAGGTATGAGATTTTTATAAATACTAACTTTTCCTTTTTTGTATTTTGAACGATGTGTTATTTATTTTCATTAATTGTGCTGTAATATTGTTACCAGATGAAGTCTACAAACTTTATTCTTGACCAGATGGTAGAATCATAGGGCCTACAGTATATTGCTTGCTTCTTTTCCCTTAAAAAAAAATGGAGGGAAAACCTGTTGTAACAAAAAAGTGAACATAAAAACTGCTTATAACTTAGTCCCATTTTTTTTCCTAGAAAGCCCTTCCTAGATTTTCCCATGTATTTACTCCTGTCTCAGCTGTGACTCCTTTCTAGGTTAGATGCACCAATCTCATCCTCGGGATTCCCTTTGCCTCTATCCTTACTTAAATATCACATCTTCCCTTTTTTGTTATTACATCCCCCTTTTTTTTTTGGTAACTTTTTGAGAAAGAGTGAAAAAAAATAGAGATCTTACGAATCTAAAAAAAAAGTATTTGTCTTATTCTCTCGAAAAGGGTAAGACATATAAAGTCTGAGTTTAAAATTATTTTTCTTCACAATTATGAAAATATTACCCTTATGTCTGGTTTCTAATGTTGCTCTTAAGATACCAATTCTCTTACTCTGGATCCTTTAGTATATGTTTTTTCTTTTTAGTTAATACTATCCCTGATGTTCTTATATTTCACAGTAATAGACCTTTATGTGAGTCTTTTTTCAGTGTTAGCCACTCAACTGGCCCAGTTAAATCTGGAGCCTTGTATTCAGTTCCGTGGGTGGCAGTACAATAAGTCATTTGGCTGCTCACGGTGAAATTGCAGATATTAAGCATCTACTTGCTCCTTTGCTTTCATCCTGGAAATAGTAGTTAGTTCCTCTAATTTCTAAGTATTTCTGAGACTTATTGTGGTCAAATGGCTTGCTTCCCAACAATATCTTCCTCTGTAAGAAAATAGGTTCAGTTTTTTTATGCTCTACTTAGTGAGTTACCACTCCTCCCTATTCTCTCCATCTGGCTAAATTTTGTGGATTTCATTCTGTCAAGTACTCTTCTTGGCCTATCTAGCTTTAAACCTGTTTTATTTCATTATTAATATAATTGAGTTTCTTCAGGGAACAGAGATTCATTCAACAAATGAATGTGCCTTGTGGAATATAGGGTGCCTGTAGATACAGGGTGTGTGTGAGTGTGTATATGTGTATATATATATGCACACAGATATTCACATTCCACCCCCCCATACAGAGTTCATGCCTCATGTACTTTATAGTCTAGTGGAGGACACAAGTAATAATAAATGAAATAAATAACTAAGATATATTGTCACTTAATGATAAATGCTAGGGAAATGAAAAGAGAGTGATACCAATTTTAAATAAGTGATCAGAAAAAGTCTTGGAAGGGGTAGCAGTTTGAGCAAAGAAGAAAATGTGAGTTTCATCTATTATATTTAACTGGAAGTTGAAATTTTATTTTTATTGATAAGAGGGTAAAAATAACTCAATATTACCTGTAAGTTTTATAGTTTTGTTTTCTCTTTCAGATTAGGAGGATTTCATTTTTTTTTTGAAAGATTACATTGTACATATATAATAGTTTTAAAACACTGTCACAGAATTCTTGGTCAAGGGAAAAGAAAAATAAAACCAGAAAATACTAGGAAAATATGACCCCGTCATCTGAAATGTTAACTATCCTAAACTTAACTAGATTTTAGCTTTATATTTTACAACAGTCCTAGAGTTTTTCATACCTTTTCTTCCTTTTTTTTGAGACAGACTCTCACGCTGTCACCCAGGCTGGAGTACAGTGGCGTGATCTCAGCTCACTACACCCTGTCTCCCAAGTTCAAGCAATTCTCCTGCCTCAGCCTCCTGAGTAGCTGGGATTACAGGCGCCCACCTCCATGCCTGGCTAATTTTTGTATTTTTAGTTGAGATAGGGTTTCACCATGTTGGCCAAGCTGGTCTTCAATTCCTCATCTTGTGATCTACCCACCTTGGCCTCCCAAAGTGCTGGGATTACAGGCATGAGCCACCATGCCCAGCCAAGTTTTTCATTTCTAAGTGTTTTTTGTTTGTTTGTTTTTGTTTTTAATAGAGCTAGAGTCTTACTCTGTTGTCCAGGCTGGAGTACAGTGGCATTATCATAGCTCAATGAAACCTCCAACTCCTAGTCTCAAGTGATCCACCTGCCTCAGCCTCCTGGCTAATTCTTTTTTGATTTTTTTGTAGTGGCAGGGTCTCCCTATGCTGCACAAGCTGGTCTGGAACTCCTGGCCTCAAGCAGTCCTTCTGCCTTGGCTTCACAAATCGCTGGAATTATAGGCATGAACCATCTCACCTGACCCATTTCAAAGTATTTTCTGAACCTCAATTAGTAACTTCTGGTAACTTTAGTAAAATACTTTAAAAGGCAGGTTGTTTGAAATAAATTGTTTTCATAAGAGATGAATATTTTCCATTAATTTCTTTTGAGATATTACTTGAAATCTTGGTTATCCATAAAATAATGGAAGAATTTTGATTTGTGCCTTCTTTGTTAGATTCGTAAGTGGAAATTTCAGATTATTTAGATCTGTAAATATTGATTAAAGTGTTTATTGGATATATAATGTTGCTAATAGATTTTAAATGGCTTTATTTTAGGTCCTGAAGAGCGACAATTCAAGGGTTTAGGTGACTGTATTATGAAAATAGCAAAATCAGATGGAATTCCTGGTTTATACCGAGGGTTTGGTGTTTCAGTACAGGGCATCATTGTGTACCGAGCCTCTTATTTTGGAGCTTATGACACAGTTAAGGTAATCTGGGGGCTTTAACTTGGACATATTTGATAAATTTTTAAATTAATAATATTTTTAGCAGATTTGTTACTTTTAATTATAAAAATTAAAATCAGTGATGAAATAAGAGACATGAAATTCCCTTAATCATGATTTTGCTATAACCTAATTAAATTATAACTGTAGTATGGATCTGACTTTAGTTATAAAGCATGTATCTAAGCTTTTGAGGTGTTTTCACTGTATATCACGTTGCAAATGAAAAACATGCTAATTAAACTTACATCATAATCAAATCATTGGTATATGTAAAGGCATCTTCTAACAGTATTTCTGATTTTATATTAACCCTATTACCACTTTTTTGTATGCAAATAATTAAATACTGTCATTTTGAGAAGTAGGCAAAGCATAATTAATTGCTACTATAGCTTAGTTATCTACTGGATACTGTTCAATTCTGTGTTGTATTCTCCAGGTTGTTCTGCAACTTACATTTTAATTTCAGACTTTAAGAACACTTCCATGTGGTAGGAAAAAGAAAAATTGTAATAATGTCTACCAATTTTTAGCCATTACTTAGTTCTAGAAATCTTTTTAAGTACTTTACATCTTAAATCTCAGAAATCACCAGTAAAGGACTTACCCATGTAACCAAAACACCACCTGTTCCCCAAAAACCTATTGAAATAAAAAATAATAATAAAAGAAAATAAAGATACTTCTAATTGTTTAAAATAAATAAATAATAAAAAATCCCTCCACTTTGTTTAAAGATAAATAGCTAGGAATAGTTAAATGATTGACTTGTTAAAGGCAAGCCAAAAAATCCTTGTTCTTAATAACTACATTATAATGCTTCCAAAAAGAAGCAATGAAATTAACATCAGTATTATTTATTAAGATTAAAACATGGGAGACATTTTATAATTGATTAACATATTATCTCTGGTCTCCCTCATTAGTATATATGTAGTTGATTATCATTTTTATTGTGGTCTGGACAGATCAGTTTTTAGTGTATTTTTTAGACTGCTGTGTTAGTGGAAATTACAGGATCTCATACATTTATTTAATCACAGAAAAGTTAAGTGTGTACTGTCTCTGTTCTTCTTTGTCTTCGCCTGCAGGAGTCGCAAAATTTAGGAACATTTTTCCATTAGCTTAAAGTTTTAAAGCTGCTCATCAAATATGTGTTGATGATAAAAGCAAACATTCTTTCACTTTTTTTCAACCCCACAAGAAAGAGCCATGTAAGAACTTCTTTTTGTCGATGAATGCTATCTTCCCTAGTTTTATGTGCTATTAATAACAAATTCTTACAATGGTAAAATGCTTTATGTTTTTCAGATATACTTTTGAAATATAATCATGTGTGGCATTCCACTTTTTATTGATCTGCTACTATTAAATCCAACTATTTTATTGCATTTTAAGTCTAATTGGGCCCTCTTTCATATATTTATAAAAATTATCCTTTAACTTAAGAATTTAGGATATTTTAGAAGTTTGGATAGTTACTTGATACATTTCTCTTTTCTAGGGTTTATTACCAAAGCCAAAGAAAACTCCATTTCTTGTCTCCTTTTTCATTGCTCAAGTTGTAACTACATGCTCTGGAATACTTTCTTATCCCTTTGACACAGTTAGAAGACGTATGATGATGCAGGTATTTTATGTTATCATTTCTAAGCTTAGTTGAGTTTTTAATATCTCTGATATGTAGGTATAATCAAATTTAAATTTTGGCTGAAAGGCATAGGTCATGTGTTTTACTTAGCTAAAATAAATACATGATGTATTTTGTCTTATATTCTTTCCTATCCTAAAATAACCATCAGCCAGAAAAGCTTCTTCCTCACCTGCCATCAAAACAGAAATGCTTGCTATTCCTGTAGCTTATATGGGGCTTGGAAGGTAGAGGGTTATGGCAGAAATTGGATGAGTATGTCTATCTTAACTGAAATGTTAGATTAAAATCAATAAGCCCAGTCACAGGCCATTGAAATATTTCACTATTTACTGTAGCATATTTTTATGAAAGTAAATAATTTTGAACTCCAAGGACAAAAACTTGTTTGTAATGATTTATGTTCTAAATAGAAATCCCTAAACCAAATTTTTGATACATTTGATCTCTATTGTTATTACCAGTTGACCATCCCAAATCTGAAAATCCTAAATCCAGAACACCGCAAAATTCAAAATGTTTTGAGCACCAACATGATGCTCAAGGGAAATGCCCATTGGAGCTTTTTGAATTTAAGATGCTCAGCTGGTTAAGTATATAAAGCAGATATTTCAAAATCTGAAAAAATTTGAAACACTTCTAGTTCCAAGCATTTCAGATAAGGGATAGCACCTGTATTTATTACATTCACTCATTCAGCAAATATTTGCCTGCTTAATCTATGCTAAGCTCCGGTGACAGAAAAACACAAAATGTGCACCCAAATTCATAGTCTAATACTGAAGACAACAGCTAATGGTTTAAATAGAAATGTGTGTAGGTTCCAGGAATACATAAGGAGGGTTGCCCAAATGCTTAAAATGATCAGATGTGGCTTCTTAGAGAGCTAAATCTCAGTGAGTAGTCTTACTTCAGTCAGTGAGAGAACATTCTAAGCACAGGGGGAAAATCGTACACAGAGATATGGCTGGAGAAGTAGTTCTATATAGACAGGTCCTAGGTTTTATGCAGGCAAGTGACTTTTTCATTAAATTCTCAAAACAATAAGGTGTAGTTACTATCATGATCCTCATTTTTATTGACTACAGAATGGTCCTAGAAGGACCAAAAGGCAATCTAGCAGGATAAAACTAACCTGTTACTTCACTTAGAGATAATACTTAGAATTATTTCATTTATGTCATTGTTTCTTCTCTTGTGTTTTAGCACATTGAGTAACTTTTTTAAATGGAAAATTTGTATATAGACTATAGATTGGGTCAATGGTATTAAATTTCCTGAATATAATTAACTGTACTTTGGATATGTAAGAAAATATCCCAATATTTAGAAAATACACACTGATGTGTTTTAGGATAAAGAGCATGATGTCTCCAACATAATCCCACGATATTACAGGGAAAAAAAATGTGGGAATGTGTTTGGGGGTGGGCGGGTGTGTGTGTGTGTGTGTGTGTGTCTGTGTGTATTAGTTTGCTAGGGTTGCTATAACTCACAAAAGTGGTTGGCTTAAACAACAAATTTATTTTCTCACTCTGAAGGCTACAAGTTTAAGATCAAGATGTCAGCAGACTTGGTTTCCTCTGAAGACCTCTCTCCTTGTCTTGTAAATGGCTATCTTCTCCCTGTGTTTACACAGAGTTCTTTCTCTGTTCCTCTTTTTATAAGGACAGTCATATTGGCTTAGAGTTCACTCTTGTGATCTCATTTAATCCTAATTACCTTTAAAGCTCCTATCTCCAAATACATTCTGAGGTACTGGGGGTTAGGACTTCAACATATGATTCTCACAATTCAAGCCCATGAAGTACTACTTAATGTTTGTATTTTTATTTTATGTCCCACAACTTTGTTAGCCCTATTACAAACACGAATGTGCATGTACATACCTTCCAGGTTTCTATTTACACAAACAGGCATATAATCTGCAACTAATATCAGGCTTTTTTCCTTCCTTATCAATTACACCTTTTATTTCTCTTTCTTGCCTTTCTGTACTCACTGAGACCCCTAACTCAGTGTTATATTTACAAAATAGTAACTGGCAACCTTGTCTTATTCCTAATTGTACAGAAAATGCCTTCAATGTTATATAATTTAATGTTAACTGTGGGGTTTTTTTGTTGTTATCCTTTATCATGTAATGACAGTTCCTTTCTGTTCCTGGATTTTAACAATTTTTAATTTACAAGTGGTGGTCATGTTCTTTCTATATCTGCTGAGATGATTAAATCTTTTTTTCTTTTAATGTGTTTACATATTGTGTTAAATTAATCTATTTTCTAGAGCTAAATCTTGTATGTCTGGGATAAACCCAGTTTCTAAGTATTGTATTCTCTAGCCCTTGCTAGATTTGCTTTCAGGGTTTTGTTCAGGATTTTGGCATCCATGTTTCAAAGACATTGGCTTGTATTTTTCCTTCTTCTATGGCCCTAGTATGACTTCAGTAGCAAGGCTGTGCAAGCCTCATAAAATATGTTGAGGAGTCGTCCCACTTTTTCTCTTCTCTAGAATAATCTCTAAGATTGGAATTAAATGTTCATTAAATGTTTTGAACTCACATTTTAAGCCATTTGGACATGTGGTTTTCTTTGAGAAGATTTTCAACAACTGATTGAATTTTTAACTGTAGTACTATTCCAGTTCTTTTCTACTCTGTTGGTAAATGATGCTTTTCTAGGAATTTATCCATTTCTTATGACTTTTAAAAATACTTGTACTGAAGTTTTTGTAATATCATCTTGCTCTTAAATTTCTGGATCATCTGCATTTTTTGTTACCTTTGCCATTTCTGATAATCTTTGGGCTTTTTCTTTTTTTTCCTTAAACAGTATTTCCAAACTTTGTCAGCCAAGTTTTCAAAGACCTAACTTTGGACTCTTTTTGTGCTGCTGTTGTGCTGCTGTGTGTTTTCTAGTTCCTTTATTTCTGCCAGTTATTTTCTTGTTTTTACTTTCTTTAGGTTTATACTTTGTCTAAAAATATTTAGGTTGCTCATCAATTTTTAGGCTTTTCTAATATTTCAAAGTCATTAATTGCCTTATAAATTACCACTCAAGCTGCATCTTAGAAATTTAGCTAAGGAGTTTTGTAGTTATCATTTGGTTTTCAATATTTTCTAACAAGAAGTTTTTTGTTTTTAACATTGAAACATATGATTTTTTTGTTTTGTTTTTTTTGAGACAGAGTCTTACTCTGTTGCACAGGCTAGAGCACAAAGATCATGGCTCACTGCAACATTGACCTCCCAGGCTCAGGTGATCCTCCCACCTCAGCCTCCCAGGCAGCTGGGACCACAGGCATGTGCCAGCACTCCCAGCTAATTTTTTGTTTTTGTAGAGATGGCATTTTGCCATGTTGCCCAGGTCGGTCTCAAACTCTTAGGCTCAAGTGATCTTCCCACCTCGGCCTCCCAAAGTGCTGAGACTACAAGCATGAGCCACTGTGCCCAGCCCATATGATATTTTTCTATTTTGCTATTGATTTCTCAGTTAATTGCAGTATGGTGAGAGGATAAATCATGGTCTACGTGATGACATCCTTTGACATTTGTTACACCTAATGCATGATCAGTTTTCAAGTGTGCCTGAAAAGTATGAATGGCCTCTAACCAATAAGGACAGTAGTCATATATGCCTATTAACACAGTGCTACTCAACACAGTGTTTATCTTATCTATCCTTAGTGCTAATAGAAGAATATCTTAAGATAAAAGATATTAATATAATGAAGAATACTTTGTCTTTCTTTATATAGAGTGGTGAGGCTGAACGGCAATATAAAGGAACCTTAGACTGCTTTGTGAAGATATACCAACATGAGGGAATCAATTCCTTTTTTCGTGGTGCCTTCTCCAATATCCTTCGTGGTACAGGGGGTGCTTTGGTGTTGGTATTATATGATAAAATTAAAGAATTCTTTAATATTGATATTGGTGGTAGTTCATAGGGAGAGTAAATTAAGAAATACATGGATTGAACTTAAACATACAAATTACATAGCTGCCATTTGCATACATTTTGATAGTGTGTTACTGTCTGTATTTTGTTAAAGTGCTAGTTCTGCAATAAAGCATATATTTTTTTCAAGGGTTTAAATACTAAATATCAGATTTTTCTTCCGACTTAGACTCAAACACATTTTAATGTGATATTTCATTTATTAAAGGTAGTGTATTTTGTTAGTTTAAAATTCTTTTATGATTAAAAATTAAAATGTATAATGCTGAAATCTAAGAAATGAAAGTATCCTCTTTTAAATTGCTAGTCATTTAATATACCTGTTTTCTCATCTTTTAAAATTATATGGCATGACAAATATTTCTTAAAAGCTTATCAAGAGATGTCATCATATCTGTAGGCACAAATAAGCTTTGTTCTTTATCTCTTCTAAGACAGCACAGCTATTACTGTGTACGTATTTACAGTATCAGTTAGCCTTTGATCATAGATGTGATCATTTAAAGATTTGATAATGATTTCAGTGACATAAACTGAAACTGGAAAATAAAAATGGCTTATCTGCTGGTTTATCTTAGAAATAAATAAAATCTTGCTAGTGTGAATATATCTTAGAACAAAAAATATCCCCCTGAAAATTAGTTTGTATATTTTGTTGACAATAAAGGAAGTTTAAAAATGTTATAAAGGAGTCTTTTTTTCCCTGACTCTAACTAAATTAGTAAGCAGAGTATAGCAAAATTTTTGACAGAACTGGCTTAACAACAAAGAACAAAAGATATTTCTCAATGGACAGATATAAACAGCATTCCAAGGTTTTGTATAGGAGTTTGAATTGTTTTTCAGAGCTGTTGTAGAATACAGTATATTTGAAATATATTTGAAATCCCCAAGTTTTTAATGTTTTAGTGAGTAAATGGATGTTAAGCAGTGGGGATAAAATACAGACAGATTTTGTGAGGCTGTGAATAGGCAGAATGAGGTAGGTGAACTTCCTTATGCACAGAGACAAAGCATATTTCAAGGACAATAATACAGACTCTACTTTTAAATATATTGGTGTTATCACTCAAGAGGATAAAAAAAGTCAGACTCTAAACATCATTTCTTGTAGTGGTCAATACACAGGAGTTATAGGAACAAAATAGAAAATATTTTCCTTTCCTTCTACACTATCAAATGTGGTTAAAATAACCAAATATGAGGAGTAGTTTTCCATATAAACAGCAAGATAATATAAAAGTTTTCAATTTATGTAGAGACATGCATAGAGGAAAGAAGTCTCTAAATTCTAAACGGCATGGATAGAGGGCAAACAGGAATTTAATCTTTAAATTGCTAGACAAAAATTATATTCTTTGAAGCCTAAAAGATGTATAGTTGGAGCAAAATAAAGTAAAAATGTTACTTAGTATCTTGGACAGAGCTAAAACTACATTAAACTGTTATTATGAGAGATAATTTATAGTGAGCAAAATCATAACACAATTATATAAAGAAATGATTTTTTTAAATCTTAACATTGGGAAATGAATAGTTAAAATATATTTAAAATGTGTACAATTTTTATCTTAAATGACTAGTGCTGCATCTTTTTTTCTGTAAAAGAGAGCTGGAATACTGCATTTTTTTACAGTGTCATATTATATAGGATTTCTAACTTCCTACCCTAAAACTGTCTCCTCAAATAATACCTAAAATTCCATTCTCCAAGCTTCATTCTCTTAATTCATCTTTTTTAATTCATTAAAATACATCCTCCATGAAACAAGATAACATTTTAAGTTGGTAGTCATTTTTACTGAAACTACATTTATTTTGGTGAATTTTACATTGTTTTCTCACAGCAGGTTATGCTAGAGGAAGTGGAGCAGGGAATGGAAATAACAGACATTGTCTGGGTAGTAAGAGGCTAAAAGTCCCTGAAGAAATTTTTGCTATTTTATATTCCTACTCTGGATTGATGCTTTCTAGTAAAAATTAGAACTTTGGTACCCTCATATTAAATTTTCTGAAATAGTTCCTTTTTCATATATAAACATTATGCTACACAAGTAAGTAATTGATACCTTCATTCCTCATTAACTGATAGACCTAAATGTAGATTCAGAAGGGCTACTTTTCTTCCACCACCTCTTAAATGTTAATATTCTCCAGGGGCCAGTCCTTTGCTCTTTTCTCACTTTATATATGGTAGACTGCGTTGACACATGCCCCTCCCTCACAAGAACATGCTGGATAAAATATATCCAAAAAGATCTGGTTTGGATTTGTATTGTTTTAAATAGGGAACTAGCATATCAAGAGATGTCAAAAATAAGATACTCAAGGCCAGGAGAGAAACTGGGAGCTAACCTTGTAGCAGTCCACAGATTTCAGAAACAAATAGACATTAAAGGTGAATTTGACACTTACATATGTAGACAGGAGTTAAGGAATTTGGACCCTGGTAGAGTAGGCAGCTGTAACTGAAATATACCATGCCTACCAACCACACAAACTGTCCAATAAAGCTACAAATGTGAGTCCAGATACAAACCAGGCATCTGGTTTGAGGCCAGGAGTTCAAGACCAGCCTGGGCAACATACTGAAACCCCTGTGTCTATAAAAAAAAAAAATTATCCAGGTGTGGTGGCATATGCCTGTAGTCCCAGCTACTCAGGAGACTGAAGTGGGAGAATCACTTGAGCCCAGGAGGCTGATGCTGCAGTGAACCAAGATCATAGCACTGACCTATAGCTTTGGCCACAGAGCAGGACCCTATTTCTGTATAAAGAAAAAAAAAACCTACAGTCTTGAAAGAAGTGTCTAAGAAGAGATGCTAGAAAAATAGGCAACAAATCATAGTGGAAAAGAAGTGCCAATTACCCCATCAGTGAATAGGGAAAGAAAAAGCCACCTGTGATGTCTTGTCTCTGGTTTGAGGGTTAACAATTTTAATTAAGCCACCTGTGAAAAATCAAAACCCCAAAATCTTTTGCCACAACAAAGTATAGAATGTGTGTGTGTGTGTACGCACGCACGCATATGTGTGCATATATATAAACTATAACACAGGAACTCGAAGCTAAACCATTAAAACTGTTCTAGGACCAGTGAAGCCCTCATGTATTTGGCAAAAACCAGTACACAAGCTCTCTGAAATACTTCTACAACCTAGGCCACAAAAAATTCCACAGAAAAGATAGCCTTCAAAGAAGATGAATTAATGCGTCATCTGAGAAAACAAACACTGTGTGGTAAAGGTGGTAGATACGACAAACAATTAGCACCCCAAGAACTAAAAATGTGATAAAATACTGTAAAAGAAACTATAAAATTAGAATGTTTAAAATGATTAATAGATTTTTATAATTATTTTTTAATAAAAATAGTATACTATGAAAGGACAAGCAAGTTTGAAAAAACATTTAGAAATTGTAAGTATAGTGTTTGAAATTAAAAACATGACAAAAGAGGGGCTAAAGGTCATAGTGGTTTGAATAAATTTTACATATTCTAATAGATCCAGAAGAAACGGAAAAGAGGTGTGAGAAAAAACAAAAGAATGTCTAATGCTTTTCCAGAATCTCAAGAATCCATTTGTCTTCAGGTTAACAAAAAACTGAGTGAATAAATAAAAACAAATCTACAATTAAAGACATCATAATAAAATTGCAAAATGTCAAAGAAAAGACAAACTCATGACTTAGAAAGGAACATTATACCCAATAATGGGTGACAAAAGATACAGGAAAATACTGTCAAAATTTGTACACTAAGCTATTAAGAAGTTCCGTGATGGTAATATTTTCAAACAAAACAAAAATAGTTCACCATTCAGAGATCTTTGCTTAGCAGTCCCCAAACCTTTCAGTATGAGGGACCAGTTTCATGGAAGAGAATTTTTCCATAAATGGGGGAAGGGTGTTTGTTATGAATCTGTTCCACCTCAGATCATCAGACATTAGATTCTCATAAAGAGCATGAAACTTAGATCCCTTGCATGTGCAGTTCACAACAGGGTTCACATTCCTATGAGAATCTAATGCCACCTGACAGGAGGCAGAGCTCAGGTGGTAATGCTTGACTGCCCTCCCTCAACTGCTGTGTCCCCAGTTCTTAATAGGCCACTGACCAGTTGGCCACTTGGGGACCCCTGCCTTTGCTGAGAGGAAACTAACTCAGGAGGAAGTCCAGTTGAATGTAAGCAGCAACAAAGTAAAGAAATTGGTAAACATGTTAGTAGACCTAAATAAACACTGCCTGTAAAATGAAAAATACATACTTTTTGGTGAAAGGAGTGACTTACCATAATGAATTTCAGAATAATGTCAGAAGAGGCGTCTGAGGCGAACTGGTGGAAGCCACAGGCGCCCAGCAAGACTAGGGCCCAGGGTTCAGTTGGTGTGGTGGGGGGGTAGGGGGGCGGCAGCGCCCAATCACTGTTCCGCTCACGCGCTGCTGTGTCTCAGAGGGCGGCTTCTCCCAAGTGATCAACATCTCCTGAGTGCTCATGAAGGGAAGAGAGGCCTGATTTATTCTTCAATGTAGAGACCAGAACGCAAGCAATACTGGACAATCCAGTTGCCTCACTATCGCCTTTGAAAATGGATTTCACGTTCATCCTAACAACAGCAGGAGCTATAGTCACCCTTGCTGCTGCTGCTGTAGCAGCATTATTAATACTAAAAAATCTAAGTTCTTTAAAGAAGTGGACGACTAGGGATAATCAGAATACTAAAGCATCTGGTAAAAACAAAAGGTAACAAAAAACCCACGCCTATTTTCAAGATGGAACGGGAAACACACAAGGATTTGAATGAGAAGGAACAGAGACCAGAGGAAGAGGACGAGGAGGACCAGGGAACAGAGCAAGGACTGGGAGAGAAGGCAGGGTACACACATATAAGTGCACGAAAAGGAACAGCGCAGCCAAACTTCGTTAAGTGTATCATAAAACTTGGTTAATTACCAACAGGCAACAGATGTCGATCAAACGAAGAGGGAGGGTTCTGGACCACACTGGGCTTTTTGAGGACCACAGGCCAGCGGCTGAAGGCTGGAGCACAGACGTGGCTGGTGTGAGTGGCGCAGACTTAAGTAAGATCACTTTCCTGTAAAACTGGTTTCCAGAAGCAAGGGTCAGTGGCAGGGCCAGCATCTTTTAGAATGGCCTGAGGAAAGGTACGTGGAAGGAAAGTTGTCAGTGTGATCTTGTTTCTTGACATAAGTTTGACTTTTGGTATTTCAAAACGTGACAAGAAAAAAAGCCTAGAATGTGATCATTCTGCTTTCGCTCCAGAGGCTGGCCCGGGCTCGGCTGCGCCCCCGGGGCGGGGCGGAGCGGCGGGAGCCGCACAATGGGCGCCACCTCACAGAGCCGGGGCTGCGGGCCTCGAGCCACACGGTGGAGCGCGCCGGGCGGCACATGGGCCGCTCAGGGCAGCGAGGCCTGCGGGTGGGTGCCGGGCTGCGGGCGAGCCCTTCTGGGGGTAGGGGATGAGCGGGCGGCGTCCGCCAGCCCGGGCGGCATTTTGCCGCCGTGACAAGCACGCCTCCGGTTGCCAAAACAACCCAAAACGGTGCCTCTCAAAACACATTTGCAAAGCGCCGGCCTGCCTCTCAACTAGCACAACCGCCCGACGTCCTGATGCCACGCGAGGGCACGCGAAGCGACGCTGACTCCCCTCCTCCTTTCCCCGATCCTCCCCGCCCCGCCTTCCCCCTTCTCCCGCCCGGAGGTGGCTCAGCAGCCTCCATTTTCCAGATCTTTCTCGAACCCGCAGCTACTCGAGCAGACGTTGCCCGAGTGTTGACGGAAGCGGCCGAAGTCCGGGCCGCGAGCAGGTTCGGACGCGGAGCGGAGGCTCGCGCGCCTCCCCGGCGGCCGAGCGCGCAGGCGCAGGTCCTAGTAACTGCCGGTCGGAGGCGGCCGAACCGCAGTAGGGAGAGATCCGACCGGCGGGAAGCTGGGCAGCGGCCTCTGCTCATTCCGCGGGTTTTCGACTCCCTGCCCTAGATTTTCCGCTTCGCGACTTGGGGTCCCCTCTACTTTGCTTCTCGTAGGAGTCGCAAATCCAGCAGCAATAGTTCAGAAGAGGACGCGGTTCCCGTACCGAAGGGTTCGGCACCAGCAGCCCGAATATCACGCGGCGGGATGTCTGTGGTTGGCATTGACCTCGGCTTTCTCAACTGCTACATCGCTGTCGCAAGGAGTGGCGGCATCGAGACCATCGCCAATGAGTACAGTGACAGGTGTACCCCGTAAGTGCCTCTACTGAGCATCACGTCAACCCTAAGAAACGGTTTTCCATCCCGCCCTTACGTTTGTCCTGTCTGCTGGCTTCCTGGAATTTTCCGCTGATGTGCCCCGAACCCCTAGATGACAGGTGCAGCCAGTCAACCGCGGTGCCTAGAGACCGCCGCGCGGCGGTCGGACTTCCTCGCCCCGCAAAGCTGCTTTTCTTTCAAGGACGAGGGACAGCACAAGTTTGCGCAGCTTTCTTTTCTGTACCCACACACGCCCCCTGCCTCCTCGCGCCGCTGACCCCCGACCTCTTTTGCTTGCGAGAGGGGGGTTGCTGTGGGACAGCCCTGGCGTCCTGAACATCGAGAAAGATCTGCGGTTGCCTCTAATGAGGTTTGCGTGGGATTATCGGCCGCGGGCAAGCAGCCCCGCGAGAGTTCTTCATCCTGCCCTCCCACCTTTCCCCGTCCCTCTGGTGACAGACAGCTTGCTCTCAGAAAAGTCAAAAGCTAGCTTAGGCTGCGCAAGTCAGAGATGAATTGCAGGTTCATCTGGCCCCCAAAGCCATTTTGTTTTTCTTTCCGAGGGATGCTCAGTGAGGCATGTGGGGTTTTACAAAACCTGGTGCCCTTAAGAACTGGAGGTAATGGAGCGGGTTTCCAGAGCCAGGTCAATGGTGCATTGATAGGGAGAGCCTCGGATGGAAGTCACTGGCCTGTGCATTGGTAACTACGTCAGTTGCTGGAATGCGGCGAGGTTGGGTCGGTCCAAACGGGTGTTTCTGCAGAGTGAATTGTTGGAGTCGGGGGCAGCTGTCCCGTATAAACATGATTGTGAAGTGATTCTATTACGAACACTTGATGAAAGGGTTAGGCGGAGCGGCGTTATGTCATGGAAACATGTTTCCACATGTTACGTTGTTTCTCTGGTCTGGGAAGTTTGTTGCAAAGAATATAATTAAGTAATTCTGAAATATGAAAAACTAGCTGCTGCTTATAGGTTGCTGTTACTGGTAATTTTGTGAGGAAACCAACTATATAAAAGCTATATTACTTTTTACAGGAAGGTAAAACATATTAATATGACTGTTCTGAATGGTCCAAAATGTAGTATCTCAACTATACTAAAACAAGATCAGTGTCCAGTGGTCTTTAAATAAATGCCTCATTTATTATTCTATGGACAGATTTAAAATATAGCAAAGAGATGTTGAATAGTAGCTTACCTGAAGCAGTCTATGCTTTGATTTCTTACAAAGAAAATTCTAGGTTTAATACCATTTTTTTTTTTTTTTAGATATACACATTTCTCGTATTGAAATTTTAAACGTTTTGGACGTTTATATTTTCAATATATGGGCATAGGTAAGGTAATCCTCAATACTGTTTGAACTCTTCCACTTTTACAATTGCTTCTGGCTTTTATGCACAGTGGGAGGCCAAAACAGTAACTGAAGTCGATGAATTCGTATCTACAAGGTTTTGTATTAAGCCACAAGAAATACTGGCTTTTGTCGGAAAAGGACCAGAAATTCCACTCTCCATCTTCAGCAGAGTAGGGGTTAATAGTGGGAGCAATCTTTGGCTTCAGTGACTCAACCTATAGAGAAAAAACTGAGAGGTAGGGTGGACATTCTTTTAGTCCTTAAAGCCATATCCTAAAAGATCAGAAACCAGAACAGTAAGTAAGATAGAGCTACATTTTCAGGCTGAGAAATCTCTATAGTAGTGAGTGAGCCTGTGACTCTTTAAAGAGCCTGGCCGGCCAGACTTAGAAAGTTCTTTAAAAAGTGGGCTTCTAGAATCTTCTAGAAGTCTCTTTGTTAATGTACTTAGGCATACTGGTTGATTCTGTGTGGATGAGAGGTAATGTGATATTTCTGATTTGTGTGCTACAAAGCCAATAGTAGTACCTAGATTTAATCAGCCTAATCTAAACTAGAAAGTTCTTAAAGTGAAAGGATATTCTCATTTAGCTTGCATCAGCAACTCTTCTCTACATGGCTGGGCACTGTCATTTACCTCAGAAATGTATCCTTTGTTGTTTCTCAACAAAAGTACTTCATGGTAGTCCAGTGCCCTTACACTGTGTATTACTTTGTGTGTCCAATTGTTGAAAAACAGCCTTTCCAGGCCTGGGGATAAATGTCCCGAGGCCTGGAAAGGCTGTGTTGAATACCTGTCATTATTAGACAACCTTTAACTTTTCTAATACACCACAGTATTTAATAACACACATAAACTAGCTTTGCAAATAAAATGTCTTTCATATTACAATTGCTTACATCAAGGTAGTATGACATATTTCTAAGATGTGAATACATTATAAAAGGATCCTATGAAAAGAGGAAAGAAATGTTCAATTTAGTTGGTTTCAGCATCCATACATTTTTACATTTATTTCATTAACATATTTGATTACTTATGGGTGGGAAGATCCCATAAAAACCTAGGAGGACAGTTTAATGAACCAAGTTTTGGCCTACAATTAAGGGGACGAAAGGCAAGTGATTTAACCTATTCATTCAGATTCATCTTCTGTAAAGTTGTAATCTTTGTACTGGCCTCTCATCTCCTGTATAAGTTGAAAAGGGAGAGAGAAATTAACATGCATAAATAGAAGAGACAAAATAATTTTTCTGAACATTTTCTTATTTAAAAATTATTACATAATAGTGTATATGCACATTATATAAAATACTGACACATTAAAAGATGAAATTAAAAATTGTAATTCCTCCAGATGGTTTTCTGTGCGTGTTTTCAAAGGGAAGGGGAAACACATTATGTTTAGTAACTTGTTTCTTTCTTTTTTTTTTTAAGATGGAGTCTTGCTCTTTTCGCCCAGGCTGGAGTTCAGTGGTATGATTTCAGCTCACTGCAACCTCCGCCTCCTGGGTTCAAGCAGTTCTCATGCCTCACCTTCCCAAGTAGTTGGGATTACAAGCACCCGCCACTACACCCAGCCAATTGTTGTATTTTTAGTAGAGACAGGGTTTCACCATGTTGTCCAGGCTGGTCTCGAACACCTGACCTCAGGTGATCCACCTGCCTCAGCCTCCGAAAGTGCTGGGATTACAGGCGTGAGCCACCGCATGCCTGACCTGTTTAGTAACCTTTTTCTATGTAAAGCATGTATATTTCTATACTGTCAGTTTCAGTGTTTATATATTCATGATAATTTAAACCATAGCGTATTAGACATTCAGGTTGTTTATGATACTTTGTAAACAGTGTTGCAATAACTACCTTTGTAATTAAATTTTTGATCCTTCAAGTAAATTCCTAGAAGTGGAATTACTAAGTGCATATTTTTAAAGGACAGGTTCATGTCTGTATTCACTTAAGTATGGATGTAGGGATTAGAATTTCCATCCCAGGCTTAAGTATACCGAGATGATTAGTTTCACACATGGGGAAAAAATGATAGCCAAGAATCCTCATTAAATATCAAATTAAAGCATATGGTCAACTGTAACTGTTCATAATAGTGATTACTGTATGCCAAGCAAGCATTGTCATACATATCACAATTGTATGAGTTTGATCATACTACATACATATCACAATTGCATGAGTTTGGTCATACTAGATACATACCACAATTGTTTGCGTTTGGTCATACTAGCTATCTTTTTTTCCATAAGGAGCCTAAAGCAAAGTTAAATAACTTGGCCAAGAATTAGTAAAACCGTTAATTGGATTCTGTTTCAGGCCTCTCTGACCCTAGAACCCAAATGTCTTTCCAGTATCCATTGTTGTAAGGATGGCATATGCATAACTAGGTTTATGATGAAAGGGACAAATTAATTACCTGGTTGAGCAGTTATTGTACAGGAAAGCATCTTGCTCTACCATCAATAAATGTAAAATTTTAGCTAGTTTCTAAGAAATACTACCTTGTTTTAAAACTTTTTAAAATAATTCTTAAAAAGTGTTTTACACAGGATCTTGGTCTGTCACTCAGACTGGAATCTAGTGGTACAATCATAGCTCTCTGCAACCTTGAGTTCCTGGGCTCGAAAGATCCTCCCACCTCAGCTTCCCAAGTAGCTGGGACTACAGGTGCATGCCACCATGCCCCACTAATTTTATTTTTTTCCAATAGAGACAAGGTCTTGCCATACTGCCTAGGCTAGTCTCTAACTCCTGGCCTGAAGCCATCCTCTTGTCTTGGCTTCCCAAAGTGCTGGGACTATAGGTGTGAACCAACGTGCCTAGCCAGTAATTCTTTTTAAGTTATGTTAAGGACATTTAAAAATCTTACTTTGTTTTTAAAATTCATAAAAAATATATACACAACAAATATCAGTGTAAACATACAGAAAAAGTAGTGTGGAAGACAATAAACTTAATAATGGATAGATACTTCTTGGAGGTAGAATTATGGAGGAGGTGCTTTTAATTTATAGTCTGTAATGAACACTTCATAATAGGGAATATGGATTTTCTTTAAATGAAACTATTCCAAGATTTTTGTTAGGTATGTTGTTTTATCATCAAAATTTTGTATGATTCTTCAATACTCAGTTTTCTGGTTTTCTATATTTTTTTTCCTATTTCTTTACAAGTGTATGAATAATCTGGAAATAGGAGAAAATACTGTTTAAACACTGTTTCAGATGAGTGAGCTACCCTCTTAAATGCACAAAGTAAAAATCCCTTACTTTTGTGTGTTAAAAACAACAGCACATGGAAAATGCTAAACTCCAGGGGTTAACTGTGACTATAATAGATGGCCATTTTCTGGTGATGGCAGTTTGGGATGAAGAGGAACCTTTCACCTTTTTTTGTTAAATATTCTTTTTACTACATGAGTAGGTTTGATATGTTTTGCTGTTTGAGCTTATATTTTATTTAAAATATTTTAAACGCTGAAGAATTACACAAAGTAAGTCTCCCCCTTCCCCCCTTCCTAACCACGTCCTAAAGTTTATGTTTCTAGCTATACTAGGATATGATTGTATGTACATAATGGATTTTTAAAAAAATTATAAAACAACACTGATAAAATAACAAAAGCAGAATGTACAAAATTTGCGAATTGCTTTCTTTTCACCTTTAAATATTTTGGGCATCTTCTCAAACTATGGCTCTAATTTACCTCATTCTTTTTGCCAACTGTATAGTATCCCATTGATAGATTGTTATGGACATTTCAAGTTAATATTTTGCTAGTGACATAAAAATTCAGTGAACACCTTTGTTATTTAAA